GTAAAATAATACAAAACACATATCGTGATAAATCTTTTGTCGCATCCTTTCTGACAAATCAACTATATTCAAGCGCCCCTTTTTCAGGGTCAGACAGCAGGGATGATTAAATAATATTTTCTACAAAAAGTTCCAGGTTTTCTTTCANAAATAGCTATGTAGTAAAATAATACAAAACACATATCGTGATAAATCTTTTGTCGCATCCTTTCTGACAAATCAACTATATTCAAGCGCCCCTTTTTCAGGGTCAGACAGCAGGGATGATTAAATAATATTTTTTACAAAAAGTTCCAGGTTTTCTTTCACAAGAGAACATCAGCAGATCCTCATCTTTGAAAGAAGTCCCATCCCCTTTCCTCCTTTCCTTCAGAGAAGAGAATTCAACATCTACTGAGCCCAGACTAAGTCTTTCCTTTGACAGATGATCATGTATGTTCTTGTTGGAGGAAAAGGAAAGCTGTTCCATCGAGGCGATGATCGATTGAGGCATTCCTTTTATGAAAATTGTCGGACTTTTTGACCGCACGAGCTTGTGAGGAAATTTTGAAATAATAAACGTGGTTATCAATTGTAAACGGTGTTTTACTCTCATTAGCCATCTCCACCGTCATTCGTACGAAATTTTCACTTCTCGTGTCGTCGTGATATCAAACCGCGAGGACCTAGAGGCCCTATTACTTTAACGTAAGTGGTGGGCGTCTTCACTGCAAGGCGTCAGAAACCTGACATTATGTAAATATATTTCAGTTGATCCTCCTTTTATTACATTGTTAAATGTAGTGCAGAGAACTTCGTTATTTTACAATCTTCGCCATTAAACGTTATAACAGTTATTATAACTAATACTTTAGATTGAACTGCATCGCTGATAGATTGGTTGCTTACATATTTTTGTTTTTTCTGATTTGCTATTTTTATATACTGTATTTTGATAACGATTCACGGCCAATACACTTTATGCAGGGTGTGACCTACAAGAATGCCCAATAAAGTAAGTAGAAGACAGTGTGGCTAATACCTTTTAACAAGTCATATTCAAAAAATTTCCCATTGTTTTATTGGATAATAACAAACCAATATACTTCGTATTCTTTCTCTGAACTTGCAAGACTTAATCATTAAATAATAAAGTCGTGAGTTTGCGAAAAGGGAAAAGAAAATCAAATTTAGAATGAAAAATGATGAAGAGAAAAAAGTAAGTGTGAAAAACAATGTTACCTTTATAGTTGAGCCTATTTATATAGGGAGAAAATGGAATCTTACGAATATATATATAATTTTAAAAGCTTCTTCTCAAAAGAATAGTTGAAAATTAAAGAGAAAATACGTCTCCAACGATGATTTGTCGTGGGCTCGTTGGGCCCAATAGGCAGTACTCTAGCTGATTTTTAAGAGTGGATCGGTAAAGAAAAGGATGGAACATGTTACCCAACAATTGGAAAGAGTAATACGTTTTTTTCCTCTTTAAAATCTGAAATTTTAAAAGGTCATTCTTCGAATTAACCATTCCGATTAGTCTCAATGTTCTCTAATTGCTCTCTGATGCCTTTTCTGTATTCAGGTAACGCGAGACTAGACCAGTTCCAGAGAAAGGCTAATTTTTTATATTTACCTACCGAAATCTAAGGGTGAAAGTTTCACTACCTCGTTTGACATTTGTTAACATTACAAATCATAATAATAAACAACGCTTTTTGCCCGCGACTGAAAATTAGACAGAATTAGATAACCCAACAAATAGGGTATAACATTTTTTGCCTTGGTGTGATAAGCCCTGCAAAAAATGTTATACCCTATTTGTTGGGTTATCTAATTCTGTCTAATTACAAATCGTGTTGTAGGAGTCACTTAGATTTTACAAATACATGTGCCGGGCTGAGAATGGCTCACGTATTTGTAAAATCTAAGTGACTCGTACAACATGGAATTCATATAAAATGGAATAATCAACAGTGTTATAGGGGGGTCGATTGTAACTTCATTCAACAGAAAAACGTAAAGCACTTTTAATACTTGTTAGCACAGTCCACAAACCAAACTTTATAGCCATTCGATATAACAAGAAATGTTGCTTGAGAAATTTTAAGCTAGTTAGGCAACCTTTCTTTCTTTTTTTCTTTCTAACGTAAATGTCAACGAGATTTTCTTCAGACCAGCACTGTAAATCATTACTTTAATTTCTTGAATGGTGAAATAAAGTGACGACGATCAAAGAAATGATAAAAAACTAACCCATTTCTGCATGAAAATTCCATTAGTTTCCGTTCACTTTGTCGTACGGAAGAAAATACAACAAATTCAGAACTCTGTCTTCACGTACGCAAAGAATTGAGAGGTATCAACAGAGTGTAAAATAAAACTATCCTCGACTTTTCTCTACATGAAAGACAACGATAAGACGTCAGTAATAACGAGCGAAGTCTTGCGTGTTAAAGCTATTTATTGTCGTTTCTTCTTCTCTTTTCATTTCTGATGGAACCAAAGACGACGGCAGAATAACAAATAGACACGATTCTTTCGATTTATTTCTGAATGATTCTAATTTCTTTTCTGATGAGTCAAATCTATTCAATAATGAAAATGAAAATACAGTTTACCACTTCTCTATCTCAATGGGCATTTGCTTTTTCTTTGTAAATGAACTGTGAATTTTCTCAAAAAATAAGTGTCACCATCTAATACAGTAGATCCCCCTATAAAAGCGTTTCCTATAGTTATGATTCCTATAAAAATTGTGGCATTATCCGTAAACAACGGTAAAAATAACTCCTATAATACGTAAAACGTCATCGGGCAGCCGAACTACTTACCCGCCGTCCGTAGCGCCACGCTACGGAGAGATTTCTATCGTCTGGACAGTATTATATAAATTATATATAAATTAGGTACTGTACATATAATTATATATTAATTATATATAAATTAGGTACTGTACATATAATTATATATTAATTATATATAAATTAGGTACTGTATATATAATTATATATTAACTTAATTTATTGTAACTTTATTATAATTAAATATATATTTTTCGCCGTCTAGCGTCACGCTACGGCGAGTTAGGCGACCTATCGTCTGTTTAGTACTGTAATTTTATACATTTCTTGTGAAAGAAACATTTCTTATTTAACGGCCATAAAAATTATTTATATTAATGATGTCTCCAAAGGTCAACGAAGTTTTCGCAGAAAAATAATATCAGAAATCGCGGCCGCAATTTGATGCGCTGTTCCGCGACGAAACCAAGCTTTAGCAACGGGCGTAGTCGAACGGTACACACTCGGTAAGCAATCCTACAATTTTTTGTTTATAACGTAGTTTATACGGATTATTTTCAAAAAAATATACGTATTTTGGAAATGTTGAGTCGAATTAGTCTAGAATCGATTAATTTTATGAAAGAAAACCTTTCAAACAGCCGTAGTCCGTAAACTATGATTCCTACAAAATTGATTCATAAAGAACGGAACGTATCTACCGTCTTATAGGGGGATCTACTATATTTAAATTCCAATTGTTTCCATTTCTGTATTTTTCGAATATTATTGAAAAGGAATGAATACTTTTAAACAATATAAAAAATTATTAATAATGAGTGGCCATTTATTGTGACACGGTCACAATGCCGTGTTGCAGTTTTTAACCATATTGATAATTTACTTCATTTAAAATATATGCTCTCCACCTGCAATTAGCAGAGGCTTGCCCACGTACATCATTCTTTTCTTTTAACAATAGAATAGTGCAGATTACTATATATAACTGCTTTCGGGAGAAAAGTTTTGAATCGAAATAGCGTGACATCCGATTTGCAGCGGAATTTCATGTACAGGTAATCGGGGCATCCCGCTGTTTCTAACGATTCCATAATTTCTCTCGTCTTTTATCTAACTCCGTTCTGAAGATGTAAGAATTCAGTTAAGGAAACACTCTGCATTTAAACCGGATATGGATTTTTATAAATTCCTTCGTTTTAGAAAATATAATTTTCCCATCAAAGCCATAGAATAATTTCGTCTAAAATTTTACTTTTTCGATTAAAATTTTAATTAATCACAGGGGTGGTTCGCATCTCACACTTATATAAAAGAAATGCAGTTTCCTATATCTGCCCAAATAAATATTTTTTACAAATTTGTTTAAAAATTAAATTTAACATTATAATTTTTAAAACACACTACCGGCGCACTTTTCTCGACAATAAAATCAACGACAAGTAATCGTTAGAATACACTTATTCTAACAATAAACGAATTCTCCGTAAATAAGAGAAATGAATGTTATCGCTCTAAATTAGTGACACGTGCTTAAACAAGTAAAAATAACTATATTACTTTTTAATCAATGAAATTTGTATTTATTCTAAAAACGATGCTTTTTTTTGGTACATAACATCAATTGTTTGATGTACTAAATGAAAATTACAAAACGAAGAAAATCAGTTTAGAAACTTCTTGTTTCATGTTTAATAAAATCTAAAATACGAGTATTATATATTTTTCGAAGAAATGTACTAAAATCATTTCCATAAAAAAGTCATTATTCATTACTATTATGATGTTTAATAATATGATTCTTTAAAGAACATTTAAAACGAAATTTTTCTGAGCAATAATTACACGAAAACGGCTTTTCTCCGGAGTGAAGACGAAGATGTCCTATCAGATGATGTTTTTGTGTAAAACTTCGTTTACAATGGTTGCAAGAGAATGGCTTCTCCCCCGTGTGAGTTCGGAGATGTGCAATCAGATTTCCTTTTTTTGTAAAACGTTGTTTGCAGTGATCACAGGCAAAAGGTTTCTCTCCGGTGTGAGTCTTAACGTGGTCAAGTAGATTACACGATTATGTAAACTGACGACTACAGTATTGGCAAGTGAAGAGCCCTTGGCCAGCGTGGATCCTTCGATGATATTTTAACCCATTGTTCGAAACGAATTCTTTCTTGCAACTGTCACATTGATACTTCCTATTCTTTTTCTTTTGAATGTTTAAACCTGTAAAATACGACAAATAAAAATATTAAAAGCAGTCTACATGAAAGCTCTCTTCAATTTATTGCCAATCAAATATTTCAATTTAAGCACGCTATTTAAAAATTATTGTTAAGTTTTGGATGTAGATAGAATAAAAAAATCTACTTTTTCTGGTAAGTTTTTACATAAAATTTGAAGGTTAAACCTACACGAAGGTTACCACCACACCAGAAACAATAACTACTGTATTTACACGAATTACCAAAAAGCATTAACAATATCAGAAATTAATATAATTTATACACTTTCTGAAAACAATATAAATGGAGTTTATATTGCAAAAATAAAAACAAACAAATATTCGGAAAATAATTTATAAATATCTTCGCAGATTTCTCAATTTTTCTTCACTTGCACGAAAGACGGTTTCTTTCTTGATATATTCTTGTATGATTTCTTAACACTGACTTTAATATTAACAACAAAAGTTGAACACATCCTTCGACTCTTCTTGTGTTTTCCCGGAAAGAATTCTTCATTTACTACACAGAAATGCTCTTGTTTGCTTAATGAATCTGAAAGTCACAAAAAATGCCAAATAAAATCGGATACGAGAATGATGCCATACATTATTTTCTAAGTCAAATTTAAATATATTATTAAAATTAATGTATTAATTCTAGAAATTCTTTTTTGGCATTTCTTGCCATAATACACCAGCTGGGTTTTACACCTAGCCGGTATATTATGGCAAGTAGCTTTATCTGCGATTTTTACAAAGAAGAAAATTAGGTATAAATGTATTTTACGAACAATAGTTATATAAACTTTCTATCGCTTTTCCCATTTTACAGTTTTCATTGAAGAACTAAAAGTTATAAAAACTCAACCGTATTTTGAATGTTGTTTTTAATTTCGGAACAAAGTAGAAATTTACTTACTAATTTTATAAACTTCAGTCAAGAAGAACACGTAAAATACTAACCATACTTGTTACCACAAACACTAAGGCATTCGATACATCACCAAATGTTACCCGAGAAACCTCTTCTTCTGCTTTTTAAAAAAATCTTCCTTTTTTCTTTCTAGTGAAATCGTCACCGAGGTTTCTTCCTTCCATCAAGATTGTAAATCATGTTAAATTTAAAAAAATCTACACCCAGACTATTGATTATCGAAATAAAATGGCGACGGTTTATGTTCGAAGACGCGACTCACTTACCTGTTTGGACGTGAATTCCTTAAGCTTCCATTCGCGTCGTCGTGTGGCTGAAAGGACAACACAGTCTACACCCTCTGTCTTTACAGACGCAAAAAATTGTGGGCTATCAACACAGTAAAATAAAACTTCTGCCGACTTTTTCTGTAACCAAAACAAAACGGAAGTACGTCACTAGTATTGAGCGAAGTGTAGCCCACTATATATATTCATTGTCGCTTCCTTTTCTGTAGTGACGAAGTACGAACCGATCNTTTTGTCACAGAAGAAGCAATGAAGAATTCCGTGCTAGTGCAGCGACCTGTGTAAAATAGCTGTATTCGATATTGGAGATGTACATGAATACGAATGAATCGTACAAGCAAAAAAAAACACAAGGCCAACAGTTGCGCAGGATATCCTTTGATGAAATTCGAGTTCACCCGGACGGTGAGTCGATTCCCGGACTGTTCGTACGATAGCACTATCGTAGGCGCGACGCAAATATAGATTAGAGTGGTTCAAATTTTTACAAGATATTGTTATTATTACTTATTGTAAAATTTTGCCGTACCCTAAAAAGTGCCGCCCCTGCCGCCCACACTACGCTACGCCACTGGAGTGATCTCTCTTCTAACAGTTTTACTTGTTTTAATCGATGAATTTTAGTTTGCAGAACATCTTTTCGGTTTTTTTTTTCGTGTGCAGGGCTGCAATGTTTCGCCCTCACACGAAAGAAAATCTTGTCCGGGATCATATTGGAGAACGAGAGGAAGAAGGAGGATAACTTCTCAAGCAAAAGACGAAATTTCTCATATCATTTTACAAATAGAATATAAGATAGAATTTTACTTACGGAGCTTTTATGGTGTACTTTCGGTTGCCATCTTGTGTTCGGTTCACAAACAAGATGGCGCAGAAACTAAATACACCGGATTCAAATTGTGAGCCGGCGGATTTTTACAGGGCTTTTAGCAGGGGCGGACTGGCCCTAAAATTTTTGTATGGAAAATTTATTACCAGCCCAGCCCACAAATAAAAAAAATGTATTTTTTTCTATTTATATTTAAATATATTCAAAATACAACATTGACAAAAATTACAATAAGCACAAGTCTATATTCTACAATATTAATTATTTATTTAGAAGTTTGCTTTGTTGAGCAATAATATTAACGACGTCATCAGAATGTATTTCGTTTAAAAAATCCTTCTCCACTGACATTAAC